GAAGTGAAACAATCTTTATTTCCATGACTTGAAATCTAAACGAATTCTAAAACCTTCCTTCAGAAGCAAGACAATAGCATCAGTTAGGTAACCAAGCTTGTAAGTATCTAAGTAAGTACAATGTTGAATGGGTGGATTTTTAACAAAATTGAGTATAGGAGATAAAGATAAACACTTAAAATTATAAAGGATGAAGGGTTCATGAGTTATGGCCCCTTACAAAAAGTAATAAAGCTGTGTTAGCTGAGAGGCCAAATAGAATGGAGACCCCTTCAGTACAGACATGTGAGTGGCATTGCAGTTTGCCTTTTGAAAAGCAGTGAGAGGCGAATGCTGGCAGCACTGGCCTCTGGGTCCCACAAGGAGCCACATGCCGGTCAAGGGAGTTTGAATGAAATGGGTCTTTCACCCTCCACATTAAAAACTTTTCCTTTCCAATCCAATTTCCTGAGACAGCTCATTGTGGATAAAACACTGTTAGGCAAAGATACAACCCTGTTATTGGAAAATTTTCATATCTTTCCTCAAATAGTTTCATATATGTCAATGTCTTATATCTCTTAATTATTATGTTTTAGCTTGTATTTTCCAAATTTGCCAAATCCTTTGGAAAAATCTTATTGTATTTATACAGCTATTGTTTCAAAGAGGTCTTCTGCAGTCTTTTGTAGTGTGCTACTTTGTTAGAGAGTAATAGGAATTTACCTCTTTTTTTTTCATTTTGAGTTACTGTGTATTTTCATTTTGAGGAAAATGGAACAGGCTATGGATGGTATCAATCTTCTTGGTCTTCCATTTCTTTTTTGATGGGTGGAGAGAGAACTATATGAATTTCTGTATCTGCCTTTTGCTTGTAGTACAAAGATAATAGATGACCTTTTCCAAAGTGTCTGAATTCAACTTTTCAAAAGTGACTGAGGTAAGTCAAGAAGGTTTACATGAGTCATTCATTGAAGTATATGTAATTGCATCAATACCTGCTTTGGTGAAAGGGAAACCTAATCCATCTCTTAAATTCTTCTTAGAGTTATCGTGGTGCTAGGAAGACAACTGCTGCTAAATACTCAGTGTACAAACAGAAATCTTGTAGCAGTAGTTATTAGGCAGAAATAAAAAAGTTGATGGGTATATAGTTCTCATAGGGAAACTAGTTTGCAAGCAACATAGATTTGTAACTTAAATTTTTGGATTTTAATAAAAATTTAATAGGAAAATTGTAAAGTTGCAAAGTTTGTAATTTTTTCTTTTATTGAAAAAGAAAAAAAGCACCACTAAAAAGTCGACTTTCTACTGACCTCAGAATCTGAAACTTAGATAACAAGCTTCATGAACTTTTGATTATGTGTTGTTCTCAAATAAACCCCAGCTTATTTATAAGGTAATTAAAAAATTCACACATTCATATTGAATATAAATTATATAAGATTTCTAAAACTAAGCAAAATGAACACAAGTACTGTGTACAATGTCATGGTAGGTAAACTGCCTGTTCATTTTTTTTTCCAGATCAGTTTACATAGTGTAACTATAGCTTTGTTTTATCTACCTTTAAACTCAATTCACCCAACAGTAAAGGATCTGAACTGGTAACACAGTCTAGATAACAGATAAGATAGTGTCACGTGGTACAAATGGAGGCTTCATTCTCTTTTTTTAAAGAAATCTCTTAAGACAGGCACTTGACTCAAAGACATTTTTGTACAGCACAGCCTAAGGCACAGTTTATAACCCACTGATGACAAAAATAAATTATTTCAAGCTGAAAAACATTTTTGTCCTGTAGGATAAAGACAATTTTATCCATGGACAAAATGCCCCATGGAGGGGATCTTACATTCACATCACCCATTATTATAATCATCAGATGCATACAACATCTAAGTCCAATTAAAGGAAGATGGGACCATATGGACGTCTGTTGCAGCGTCGTGGTAAGAAGATAATGTTTTGTGTCTTCAGTCTAAGTGCTTTAGAAGCATTAAGCTCCTCAGTACCATTGTGAACTAGGTAAGCAATTTTCTATGCTCTGCTTTCCCTTTGTGCCTCACTGTGTTCAAGGTAAGGCTCCTGCTGCTGATTATCATTGAATATGTAATCCTAATTGTGATCTTGAAATGTCTAAGTAAGTTTCCTCAGGAGGGACCATATCTAATTCTGTGTTTTACATGATGTCTTAATGTGGAAAAAGACCCTATACCTCATCCTCATATCACTTCCATTGTGTCTTAAAGGGACCTCATTCACAAAGGAAATGCTCAGGCAACAGCAGCTGTTAACGTACATACACATGAGGATGATTTTTGGGTATTCTGATAGCCTGCTGCTGAAAGTGGGGAAGAGAAAGCACTTTTAACACAATAGGTCAACTCAGATAGCTTTGCCCTTGCCTCTCCTTATAGCTGTCTGTGTCTGGGGATGCAACCTAGGGAGGAGGTGGGAACTGGCAAGAACCAATGGATGTGTAGGCATAACAGTTTTGTTACTGTATGTTCAGGGCGGGGGGGTCAGCTATATGAAGTGAAGGTGTTTCAGGGCTTCAAAAGAATGCTTTCTTTAGATGAACAAATAGCTGGTAAGGTTTTTGAGCTAAAAGGGAGAATTGAATACACAAACTTAGTGTAGTTTTTGTAGCATTATACAAGTAACAGAGATGCAGAGCCAATTTGGCTTCATGGAAAACATGTGGGTAACTACATTATTTTATGGCTTGACTGAGATCACTTGACATTTCTACATATTTCTGCATATAGTGTAACTGTTAGCTAAGTGAAAATTGGATTCTTTTGGAATGTTTGTAGTTATTAACTGTGAGACCTCTGCAAAATCACTATTGCTGAATTATTACACTTCACTTATTAGCTTTTACAGAGACATACATAGCTCAGGAGCCAGGCAAATAACATCACTTCTCTTTTTTCTGAAAAACTGCTTTTTTAAAGCTGATACTGTTATGTTTTTAAATAAATTCAATATATAACATTTATTTTAAAGTTTGGTACCAAAAACAAGTATTTTTAAAAATAATTTATTTATTTATTTTTGGAGAGAGAAGGGAGGGAGAAAGAGAGAGAAACATCAATGTGCGGTTGCTAGGGGCTGTGGCCTGCAACCCAGGCATGTGCCCTGACTGGGAATCGAACCTGTGATGCTTTGGTTCGCAGCCCGCGCTCAATCCACTGAGCTACGCCAGCCAGAGCCCAAAAACAAATATTTTGATACAAGAATTACTCAGCCCATTTTATTTGCTTTGTTGCCTTGGCTCTCAGGAAACTCAAATATAAATAATGATAGCAATGATGCAATCTTTACGTAATGATGTAATTTGTTTTATGAGTTATGTAAATGTAGTCAAATCAGGTGTAATTTCATATTTGGGTCATGTGAGCTATTATGCTCACTTATATGGACATATTGCCTGTAGTACCCATATGCTGGTAAGACAAACTTTTTCTTGATTCTGAGGAATTGGCTGGCAAATCTTTTGGCACTAGAATTATTAACTCTTACTGGAAGAAAAATGTAATGACAGAAAAAGAAGTTGTAGTCTCTTTGTCACTAATAGAAGACAGCAGAATATATACTGGTAGGAAGACCCTGGACTTAGGGTCAGAATGACTTGATTTTTAATTATAGTTCTTCCACTTTTTATTTGTATGACGGGGTATATTGCTATCACTTTTGAGTTTTAGTATTTTATTTGTGGAATACATGAGCCTCTTAAATTGGTGCCAAGCACATAATAAATATTCAATAAGTATTGACTACTATTATTCTTAATAATGATAATTATTGATTAAAGCTTAGAGTAGACAATACTGAAAGTAGATGTTTCTAGATGATTCTGTGAGAGATGCTAAACAAATATTAATGAAATAATGAATATATCCTATTTGAATGTAGAGGTTTTATAATATTCTATCATGTATGTTTAAACATTATATTAAAAAACTTAATAACAGCTTTTTTTTTACTTGTGTAATATGGAAGTCTAAAATATGTGTAGAATTTCACTCAAAGGTTCATAGTACTTTTATTTAAGAATATTAAAATTGTGGTCAGTGTTTTGACAAGACAAAAATCTCACTAATTAAAATCGACAAAAGTCAAACAATTAATAAGTTATAATTAAAGAGTATCCTCAGGTTTCACAGTTTCTAAAATCCAGGAACTACAGTACTGATTTTTAGAGTTTATATGTCTATCATGTAGCTCTCCCCACCAATTTATGATTATGTTGACTTATAAAAGTTTCCTTGTAACTTGTTAGTTTGAAACACAGAATAAATTTTCTTACAGAAAATAAATTGTAAATGCTGGCTTGTTTTCAGTTTAGCCCTTTCTAAAGCTGATTTAATCCATAAAAATAAAGCTAAAATTTTACATTTTCAATAAAAGGTGGAAAATAATGTTCTGGCAAGACCTTCTATTCCAAAGCTAATAAATATATTTAAACATACATAATATTTTTACATCATTTTAATTAATTTTTTTCTATTGTGCAATCTATAATCAAGAAAGATGAAAGAAAACAATTATGAAATTTATTTTGATATGTACATGAAGGCCAGGGGGAAATTTGGTATATATATCAATGAATAATTCTGGGCCCTTTCAGTAATTTTTGAGGTTTGATTCAATAGATATATTTCTCAGCTGGGCCTGCCTTGTTGAGACCATGCTGCATATTTCAATGAAGGGTGAATGAAACCTTATGTCTGCATTTATATGCCACTGAAGTTTAAGTCCAGTTGTACATCAAAGGAATATCCAAAATAACCCTAGTTTAAATAAGAGAGAAATATATTTCCTTCCCATTAATAAAGCTGTTTAGGGGCCAGTGAAGGGTTTCAGTTTCTTTTCCTTTCTTCTTCTGCTGGAACAGAATATGACTTCTGTTTCAAGGCCACTAAGATCCATGATGGGTTCAGGAATTTAGCTGCCCTGTCTGCATCTACAGCAGTGGGAAAGAGGATGGAGGAAAAAGAAAGAGATGAGCACACTTATTATTTAAATTTTTTATTAGATATTTTTAAAGGGCAATTTTAGGTTCACAAAAACTTGAGCAGAAGGTACGAGATTTTTTATACACCTTGTACTCTCACATATGCATATCTTTCCCATTACCATCATACCTTTTTTAAAAGAAAATTTTCTTGAAATTTATTTCAACATTTCTGCTCACATCTCATTTGGTTAGAGATTAGTCATATGAGTCACATGTGTAGCCATAGAAGACTGGGGAATGTGGTCTTTTAGTTGCCTGGCAATGTACCCAGCTAAAATTCAAGGTTCTATTGCGAAGGAAAGATTCAATATTCAGAGCCACCAGCAGTCTGTATGGCACTCTCAAGGTGGTTCCAACATAGAAGTCGGTTGGTCAATATACAAAGAACGCTAACACTGGCCATCTTGAGTGAAGGGCCACAAGAGAGGTGCACACAAAGGACAATAAGCATCCAGAGAGAGCAAATGCAGTGGGGAGTACTGGGACGTCTTCATGAAATGGATAACTTCAGGAGACCTGGAGGATGCACAGTGGTTCCAGCGCGGTTGCCTGCCCCAGCTCCCTCTGCTCCTCTCTTTCTGGCTGGCAGACCCTGCCTTTGAGGCTCCTGTTAGCATGAGGACCCTCTTAACAACCAAGCTTTCTAAAGGTGAAAAAACTATGTTAGTTATAGCTTAAGCTTCACTTCAGCTGAAAACTAAACATAAAATTAAAAGTTCTTGAAGAGAATGTGAGAACATCTCTGAAAATGTTTGAGGGCCCTGGGCACCTGGAACCCAAGGTTGAGAAACACTAGTCTAAGCCCATAAAACATAACAAAATATTTTTCTGTCAGGGGTACTATATTGCTGTGCTTAAGTATTTGGTCTAGAGCCAAAGTCCTTGGTTTAAATCTTAATTTTGTCCCTTACTAACAGTAGGTTTTTGGGCAAGTAATTTAACATTTTTATATTTTAGTTTCTTCACCTATAAAATGAGGACAATAATAGTATCCATTTCATAGGTTATTTTAAGGACTAAATGAGCTAATCAAGTAAAAATAGTTATCAAGTAATCAAGTAATTTTCAAGTAAAAATAATGTCTGACATACAGTTTATGCTATACTAGTGCTTATTAAATACATGCTAAAATTTCAAATTGTTTCTCCCTCTAGAGAATCAGTAATTCTCAACATTATGTAAGGTCTAGTCTGCTCACTTCTTTTCACTTTGTGCTTGCTGAGAATGAGAGTCCTTCTCAGTGGCTCTATTGCCACTTAATGCCTCACTTCATTAGTCACACAAGTAGAGCTCACAGACCCCTAGTTCAGCAAAAACTCAGCTCAGTTCTTAACCACTGTCTGTTGTTCTTAGATTCTACCTTGGGGAAGGGAGAGAGTGTTCGTTCTTACTCTTTCAAAAAATGATCACATCTGGGTTTGAATCCAGGCACTGCAACTTCTATCTGCATGTTCCTTTAACCTTTCCACATTTCAGTTTCTTCATTAAGTCAAAGGGAATAGCAATATCTCACCGGATTGTGATGAGAATTAAACGACGGCTATAGAATGTTTATCTTGGTCAGCATGTGGTGAATGCTCAATATATTACATCCACAGTTATTCTTAGAATTGAAGACATCATCATGCAGATTCTGTGAGTGAGCCCCAAAGGTCAGTTTGAAGATGAACTGTCATGTCAACTAACTTGTCCTTCCAAATGCTAAGTATCCAGCAATAGAGGTGAGCTGGGGAAGGGTAAAAAGAAATCACTATCATTGCTAAGGAGATGAGAAGGTAAGGAGAAATTCTTATGATAAGGAGGTGAGTTCTTGGCTAGAGCTCTGCCTTAGAAATTGTATGCTCATAACATAAATACTAAACATAAAAGAAAAATCATCCATTGCTTTTTTTCTTAAGAGAAGCCATTACATTATGCAAATATCAAAACTAAAGTTTGGGCAAAGTAAATTTCTGATCATTTCAATAAGTGAAACAACAATTATCATCATGCATAATATGAAACCTCAATGCAGAAATAGTGTACTTTCAAATGTGACATGTCAAGTTATTTCTTGGAATTTCTGGGTGGAAGTGAGAATTCCCTAACAACCCATTAACATGGCTATTGTCAACTATTTTTTAAAAAATAGAAAAGGTCTTTTGAGAGATTTTTAAAAAATCAAATCTGTCTTTTGTATAGTTAGAGAAACTCATAACTCCATAATATGCTTTAGCTTTTTTTTTCTTTTCTTTCCTTTTTTTTTTTGACTCACAGTCTTTTGTGCTATATAGATATCATACTCCTTAGCTGAACCCAAATATTGCTCTGATATTACCAGTAGATTCAAGTTTTCTCAGATGGCATAGGAAAACTGAAAGTGATTGCAGTACATCATACTATCTAATTAATATTTTCCTCCCTAAGTTCAGAGGGACCTTTACAAAAATGTATCTCTGGAAACACCCATTGTCACCATGGAAGTCTGTCACCAGGAGTTTTCCATTATCCAGAGAATCTGCATATGTAGTAGGCTGAAGTAAAGGCCAATTCTTTTCTTTTCTGCTCTTTGATCCACACCAGAAATTTCTTGGGGAACTTTAAACAATATTCATCCAGTTTGATTTTGTTGGCAAAAACAAAACTTTATTGTCTCACACAGACATGTACTTGTAAGTTTTTTCCACATCCTCTCCTTGAGTTATTTTTGATAAAGTTAAATTGATACCAAAATTTATTCTTTTCTTATTTTGTCAGGAGATAATTTCTAAAGCATTAAATATTTTTGGTATAAAAACTCATGTGAATTACTTTGAATACACGTGAACTTACAATGGCTTTTGACCTACAGAAGACAAAATGCCTAATCTATTTTTGGGTATCTTATTATGCAATAGACAAGGCAATGTTAGCATAAAACACATTGTTAAAACTAGACAGAAACAGCCATAATAAACTGCTATAAACCTTCAATGAAGTAAAGAAGTAATAATTTCTACAAAAGGATTGCTCCATTTTGGGCTGAAATTACAGTTCTGTAAGGGCAAAAAAGTTTACCAGATGCAAGGTCACTTGAATTCACAATAATACATACCTTTTTCTTCTGAAAGAAAGAGGCATTTGTTTCTTGACATGTTATCAGAAAAATAGTTCTTTTTTTTCTTCATCTGTCACTCAAAGTTGTCACTACATTCGGTGGCTATTTATTCTGCACACCACTCCTACCTCCAGCCGTGTTGTCAGCCTGTCTGGTATTCCAATGCCAGCAACACATTTCTCTATACTTCAAACACAACTTCTGGAAAAGTAACTTCCTCCTTCTGTTGTAAATCTCAACTGAGTCATTGCAAGAAGTTTCACTGTGCTCACCCTTCTTTCTGTTCCTCATTTTTAATCTAAATAGGAACTAGTGACATTTTCCTTGATTAGTGGAGCCCTATTTTTGAATTATGTCTTGAGTTGAAGTGTCCAATTCAAGCTGATCTGTCATGCATTTCTACTGAGCTTTTTGTGGGGGACAAATGGCACAGGTTCAAAATTGAATGGTGAAGGGTAAAGTTGCAAATTTATCTGTAACCTTCATGCCATAGATATTTCAGTAAACTTAGCTCAATAGTATTGGAAATAATGAAATCAATTTTTGTCACTTACTTGTTTCACATTTGCCTGAGAGCTCAGAAGCTCACACCACTCAGACACTGGGTAGGCTGAACAACAAACTGGGAATTCCATCTAATGCATAATTTAAGGGCAGTTTGTATTGCAAAACAAAACAAAGCAAACCAAAACAAAAACCTGAGTAGTCTGAATCTTCCTTTAATTCTCATATACTGCATGTTTATAAACAAGTTCATTCACCTCTTCATTCCAATAATTCCTTTGACAAAGGAGTGAAAATCAAAATACTGCATAGGACAAAAATAATTATTAAAATTGTTCTTCAAAGATTTTCATTAAGATTTTATTATTTAATGTTTATGAAATAATCTTACCAAGAAAATGTTAACTAACATCCAATGAAAATAAAGATTTAGAATGTAATTTAAAGGAGCCATGGACTCTTCTGAAATATATTACCTAAATGAGCTTAGAAGTAAAAAAAATGCCAGATGGCTTTGGAATTTCCAATTCCAAAAAAGAATTTTAGTGCTTCATTTTGTTTCTTCAGAGGACAAATGTTTCATCATATATTACTACAGCAATTATTTTCTAATTTAGGATTAGTGAATCTAGTTATAGAGCACAGTTTCTAGGTACAAAATGGCTAACACTGGCTCTAGGAAAAGAAATAATCTTCCAAAGAAGAATTTACTCCTTTTCATTGACCTAACAGTCGCATTGTGCGATGTGTAATGAGCACTGGAATATGGGTCAGGAAACTTTGAGTCCAGTCCTGCCTCTCTCATTAAAAAGTCCCCTGACTACTCTGGGTCTCAGTTTCCTCACATGTAACATGAAAGGGTTGGGCCATATAATTCCTAAGATTATAAATCTTCCAGTCCAAAGATTTTCTTTTAGAATTTAGGAACTGATTTAAATTACATATAAAATGGAAAAGTGAATAGTAATAATTTAAAAAGTTAAGATGGTAGTTTTGATTTTAAAGATGGAACAAGTTTGGCTAAAGTTACTGATACATAAATGGGTACATTCTTAATCTTAAAAATAAAATGTATAAAATCTGTATTCTCTGAATGAACAATGAGCTGCACTCCCACTCCCCATCCCAAATTAGGCCATGTGGATAACTTGACCTTGGGATAACTCTGTTCCTTCTGAACCGTGGGCTCTCAGTCTGGGCATTATTGACACTTTGACATGGGTATCTTTGTTGTTGGGGGCTCTCTGGTGCATTGTTTATCAGCTTCCTGGCCTCCATGTTTACTAGATGCCAGTTAACAAGCCCACCCCCCAAGCTGTGACCACCAAAAATGCCTCCAGATAATTGTCCCCAGTTGAAAAATCACTGCTTTTAAATGAACTAGTCTTTTCTGGTTTTCTGTCTTAAACTCTGTACCCAACGTATCAGAGTTGTCGTGGTATTTCAACATTTTTTGAACATGTGTATATATATTTTTATGCACAAAAGCACCAAAAATGAAAATCATTAAGGTTAGGTGGAAGTTATAGTATATGGGTGCTAACTTGTACCAGACACTGATGAATCTCTATTTCCTAAAGCCAGAGTTTGTACAGTTAACACCTGCATTATATGAAAAATGTAATTTTTGTACCTAAAGACTTTACTTTCTGGCTGAGGAGACACACAATCCATTGATTTAGAATGGGCTTCAGACCATTTACAAAGTAGCACGCCAATGAAGTGAGTGTGACTGAAGAGGGTGCTGAGTGAAGGGCCGATAAGAGTGGACAGGGAGGGGGCAAGGGGGGCGAGAAGAGTGAAGCCTGGATCCTCGCAGGGGATGTGACTGCCATGGCACAGGAGGGAAACAAGCTCCGGGAAAGGGTCGGCAGGCCCTCCCCGAAAGTGAGAACTCAGTACTCTGAGAAAGGCAATGAGAGCTGTGGGAGGAACTTGCGGAGTCCTGAGGCCCAGCCTTGAGGTTTAGCGTTAATTTTACACGTGGACTGGAGGCTGATGCTGAAGTAAAAGGAGCTTTTTGATGGAAACTTCTTTTCATTCCTACAACAAAAGCTTTGAAGGAAATTGACATACTACTCAAAAGGCCATTTTACTTCCCAGGACGGCAGTCAAAAGATAATTTAACAGTGTTTCTTTCCACTCCTATTTAAAAAAAGTGATCAGTATAAAAATTTCGAGTCTAGCCATATTAAGAAACTCAACCATTTCAGAACAGCTAAATTATTCTAAGGTCAAGCTCTCAATTGTGCAGTGACTATGTCTTCATTGCAGAATGTGGGAAAATACCACCCTCCCTGCCAAATAAGTGCCAAAGAAGCAATGCCAGAGTTTTTCAGAGCCAGAAACCATATAGAATGAATACTGGCACGAACATGGGTTGGGCTTGAGTCCTGACTCTATCATATAGTATTTGTGTGATCCTCAATATTCTCTTCTGTGAAATGGGAATAAGAGGGGTAGTGGAAGAAATCATGATGTGTTGGTAATACATGGATGAATCAATAGAGTAGAATAGAATAGAATAGAATAGAATAGAATAGAATAGAATAGAATAGAATAATTTATAACATAAAGTACTTAGCAGAATTCCTGGCATCTAGTAAGGACTCAATAGATATAAACTACATTATTTTTTCATGCTAAAATGTAAATTCTTCTCCTCAGGGGTTTTAAATATGTACTGGAAACCCTTGAGGTTGCCCTTTTCATATAAATATGTTTTGTGAATTCACAAAATGAGAAATTTTTAAATAAAAAGATATGGTATGAGGAGGAAAGCTTCAGCTAGGCTTGAAGAATAGAAAGGTCAAAAGTGCATTTTGTTATAACTAAAAGGCTAGAGAAAGGATGAGCAGATGCATTCAGAGTTCCTGAGAAGGCAAATGGAGAGAGGGGAAGCTGAGGCGAAGCTAAGGTACTGCATGCAGGTCCACCTGCTGATGTAGGACTGTGCAGTCCTGCCTGGGACAGAGGCACTTTTTGGAAGGAGCTTTCTGTGCTTTAGGATGTTCCAAGGGTAATGGTGTCTCTATATTGTTTCTCATATCCCCTTTCCCCTCAACTCCAAAGAAAGAAAAAAAAATAGCAAGAAGAGTTTTGAGCAGCTCAAATTCACCCTGCTTCTGGCCCTGAGAAAGAATGAAAAGGGGCATTTTTCTGAATCTAAATAAGCTGAGGACCTCTTGTGGGGCTGTTTTCTCCCTACAACTCTGCATGTGTCCCCTCCACACAGGAAGGGGTGAGCTGTCTCCTGTGTAGATGAAGAAGGTTGCTATGTAGACAGCAATTTCAATCCCAAACCAAAGCATCCTATGAAGTGATGTAGCTTAAGTCCAAGGCATTAATCAAAAAAGAACCTGCCTTGCTGTCAGACTGGTGAATAAGGAGATAGAGCTGGTAAAAAAGGAGGGCCCAATCCCAAGGCCAGATGAGTTTCTGCACCTAGGGAATCCAGCGGGGTGCTGGTTTACCAAATACAATGCAGCCATCTTGATTTTTTGGTTCTATGCCTACGATGCCAATCAATCTGTGGATCTGGATTTGTGGAGGATGAGTAAACAATGTCCTTCCATTTGGGGCAGCTCTAACTTCAGTTTTAAGACATCCTGTCTCTGAAGCTCTGCAGCAGCTCCTGGTCCTCCTGAGTGCAAGTTGTTCCTGCACAAGTGCCTGATCCTGACCTGATCTCCCAGGTTTCCCATTCTTTGACTTGGTTTCCCATTTTCTTCTCTCTTTTGGCTTTTATTTACTTGCCTCCAGGCTATCTATTCAATGTGTTCTTATAATGTGATTCCATCTTCTCTATTAGTTTATTTTCTTCCATAATTCTCCTGGTCCTGGCTTTATAATCCTCCATTTTACAACTTGTTGTTGCTCAAGTTTTGGTGTAACAAAAGGGGAGTATCCATGGGACATCAGATGGGACTGTCCAGTGTTTTACAAAAGAGGAGCAGAGGCATGGCAGTCACGAATACTGAATTTGTTCATCTAAGTGTCTTGAACCTGTTTTAACTTAGTTGAGCCTGTGAACTGACAGTGTATGCTCAGCTTCAGTGTGTAGAGCTTGTGATGAAGGGGGGCACTGGAGGAGCCCGCAAGGAAAGAACTTGATTAGATGGAATTGTGTGATTTTGAATGGAAGAAATCTTCCCTTCTGTCCTTCACCTCTCTGCCTATACTTCTTGCACTCATTGATGGTTATCGAGAGCTCACTTGAGCTCAATCTGTGCATGAGATGAGCTCCTTATTGTTTTATTACCCAGATGTCATTCCACCATTTGATGTTTATTAAGTATGGCATTTTGTTATTACAGATGACACTTTCCAGAGACGAAGTGTGAAAGCAAAAGCCATTTCAAGTCTCACATTCAGCAGTGTTTTGGAAAGAACATAACGTTTTTCACTGTTTAATTCCCATCTATTCCTTGATGTAAGTAAATGTTCTCTGACTTCCTTAAGATATTTTTGACTTCCTTAGAAGTATAATTGCATTGTTACCTGACAGCATATTAAAGATAACATAACTCCATGTTGGCTTTCTGTTCTGAGTTGTTCCCCTTTATCTTTTTCTCCTTATTGTTAGGTCTATAAGGTCTGTGTCATATTGGTCAAAATGTTATTTTTAACTAAAGTCTATCATTCTCATCATCTAAAATTCTGCTAAAAGTGAAAAACTGGGGTCAATATAATGGAGCTATAATAGATAA